CCCCCCAAAAAAAAAAACAACCCCACAACAAACATGATGAGCAGAACATTCTGACAAAAACAAAACTAGAAAACAATGTACAGGACCTGCCGACAGAATAACACAACATCAAGAGCTTTTTTTTTTTCTGGAGGGGGCAATAAACCTCTCCATCCCCCCACCCCAAAGTTTTGATTTTGAGAAAAAAAGAAGCACAACCACACAATAATGGTCAGAAGACACAAGAGAGGGACAGAAAAAACAAAGGGAAAGAAAAGAAGTAGGACCTGCCGGTGGCACCCTCCAACCACACACACAAAAACAAAATGTCATAAGACTTTGGCTATTTCATTTATACTACATGAACAAGTTTTAGCTTCGATTAGATTTTTATGCCACTTGCAACACAAATAAGTCACATAAGTGCCGAAGATTAGAGGTGTTACAAGAGAGCGACACACAAAGAAAAGAAGGAGGAGACATAAAGACGATAAGATGTTTGATAGGAAAGAAAGAGCAAACTACCCACAAAAAATCTTCTGATGCCATTCCTCGACCTGACTGTAGAAAGAAAGAGTCCTCCAATCACACCTCCCTCTTCCCCCAACCACGTACAAATGCACATGTGCGCACACACAAACACAAGCACGTACACACACATGAGCAAACACACACACACACACACATACACACACTCACACACCACATACCTCGACCAGACAGTAGAGAGAAGAGTCCTCCTTCTCCAGACCGTACTTGTCCATGGCCTCCCTGACCACAGCAGCGGCTGGGTCGGCCGTGGACAGGAACAGCGTCTTGTACGGGACATCCGGACGCAGACTCTCTCCGTAGATCTTTAGGGTGCCACCTGGTGGAGGGAAAACACAAAACAAAACACAAACATGAGTTTTTCGCCAGTCTGACAACACCATAATATAATGTAACATCAATTACAAAATCTTAAAAATACATGAAATTGTTTCACTCTCTTTTCCCAATGCCCATTTCAAGGTGGAATAGGAAATCAAGGGCTCGATTCTTGTTTTAATAAGAGTTTTATGGCACTTGCAACACAATTAGATCATATAAGAGTTGAAAGAGGTGGAGACCCATTGTGTCAGAGGTAAAATCATCAAGAAAATGGCTGCCAAGAAATTGGGGTGACTTCTAAAGCTTGAGTGTCCTTGAAACCTACAAATTTACAATTTTTGTGCATTTGACTTTTATCAACATTCTTCAGTACAATCCACACTGAAATATGTTTTCAAAAACACAGAAATATTTTTTCAATGTGTTGAGTCAAAAATTTTTTATTTTTTTAAAATCATCTAGCAGTCAGAAATATGCTGGTTTCTTTGATTTAATTATTTTGACTAGTGCCTGATTTTACCAAGACATCTCACATATAAGCGCGGAAGATTAATGGGTTTACTAGAGAGTAGCGTACAAAGAAAAGGAGGAGGAGAGAAAAGGCCAATACATGTTTGTTAGGGAAAAAGGAACAAACCACAAAGTGCCTCCCAACCACCCACCTTTAATGGTCATTACATAACAGCAGCGTGGGAAAATAAGGGAGGTGTGAAGCATATTAAGCACATGTGGGTGGTCAGAGGGTGCTCTGGTGTGGTTTGCTCATTCTCCCTTGTCAAACTTTTAGCGTTTTTATCTCTCTTCCTCCTTTTCTTTGCACCTCTAATCTTCAACACCTATATGACCTGTTTGAGTTGCAAGTGCCGTAAAACTATTTCTATAACTAAACAAAAAAAGTAATTATATAATTATAAGAGGGCAAGGTGGGAAGATCGGGAAGGCGTGGGACATGTAAGCACACATGACGTCACAGCTCTAGGACAAGCTGTACCAGGCCGCGGAATTTGTGACATGGGCGTCCTACACCAGTCAGCTGTCCAACCAGTTCTTCCCCCCCCAAAAAACACAACAACAAACGATGTCATGCCCCCTCTTCTTTTTGCCACGACGCTGTTTCAAACAAGAAACCATCTTAGCTCTGAAGAAAAAAAAACACATTTAATTTGACATTTAAAGAGCCACCCACTTTTGGTAGGATTTTTATCTTGATTGCAAAATTTAATTTGGGGCCAAGCCAGTTCATTCTGATTCTAGGGATATTGCACGGTCTTAATTGGTCGCTTTTAAGGACAAGTGGGCTAAACCAGATTTCGAGGGTTTCCAGAAATCTTGGCCTACACCAAAAGTGGGCATTAACCTACCTATAGGAGAAATTTGAATTTATTGGTGTGTGTATCAGTTTTATTATAGAGAAAACTCCCCATGTCTTTTAAAGGAACTGAACATGGATCCAAAAACCTTACCTTCAATTTTCTCAAAACAGTATTTTTCGGGATAGCCCCCTTGTGCTTAAAAGCGATCAATTAACTATAGCAATTGTAGTAAAATCTAGCCTCAGTTGTTTTGGAAAAAATTGATAATGTTAAGACTCATCGATACAAACTGCTGTGCAAAATATTGGTGACACTGACCCACCCGTGTTAAAGGTATATTTGAGGATAAGTTGCTCCACGAATTTTTTACCTCACTTTTATGTTTCCTTTTCTCCAAAACTGCCACCCTCCCACCCTTCTCTTTCAACCAGCTCCTCCGAACACACACCCTTTCATCAGCAAAAAAGACATAAGAAACGAAAAGAAAAAAAGGGAAAACAAATCCGCTTCCTGCAGCCCTACATGCCATTTCGTTACCTTAGAATTAGAAAGTTCTATCTGATTTTTTTGGCCGTTTGAAGTTACTAAGAACATGAAAACAAATGTTATATCTGCTTAATTAAAATTGTAAGATTATTCAGAGTCGTTATCAAGATATTCAAAGAACTGGTTTTAAGAAAGCTTGACATGTTGTGAAACTCAAAATTTTTAACGTCACATTTCTCAAAACTAGGTGCTGAGCAGATAGAACATTGCAAATCTGTTAGCGATTTGTGAAGACCGAGACAGGTGGACAACACCTACTTCTGTGGTATAGCGGTGAGGCTCTTTGCCGTGACACAGAAGACATGGGGTCGATTCACGTGTGGGGAGGATTTTTATCGAGTACCTCGGTCTTTCTGCTCGGACATTACATCTTTCTCACATTGGTTGGACCTGAGAGGCAGGGACAAAGGCCGCCTCTACCTACCTACCTACCTACCTACCTACCTACCTACCTACCTACCTACCTACCTA